TCTGAAATGCTGAGCTTCTCTGTGGGACCCTTCTCCTGGGGATTCGGGAACACACGGTGCCCCCTCAGAAGCACAGTTCACTCTGAAATGCTGAGCTTCTCTGTGGGACCCTTCTCCTGGGGATTCGGGAACACACGGTGCCCCCTCGGAAGCACAGTTCACCTCCTCGGTGCAGATCCTCAAGGTGGGACCTTTCCCAATAGCCCATGAGATCGCTCAGCTCCTTCCCCAAACTTCCATTTCTTGGCTTGTGGAAAGGGACGTTTCACATTTCGGAAGAAACAAGACTGCGCCAAATTACCAGTTGTTGCAAAGGAGACAGAGTGTAGAATGCCGCACAGGGTTTCCAAGACTGAAGCAGGGGACAGGTTTAAACCACCAACTTTGCAGCTGGCAGCCCACCACTTACCTCACTGTGCCTCCAGGGCTCTTTTCCATCAAACTGGGTTTCAAACATATCATTCAAAACAAACTAAAGGATTAATTTTGGACAATGAGGTGGGGGTGTCTTTTTTGTTTTGCTATTTGTGGGAGAGGACATATTTATCAAGTACCTAATATTTCAAACCATTCCAAAAACTAATACAGGGACTACACAAGTTATTTCCAGAAGGGGAAAAGAAGGGGCATGCAGTGAGAAAGCAAGCTGCCCAGCCCCTCCGTCGTCTGCCTTTAAGGGGCAGCGCAGCTGGCAGCTGAGGCCTGGGCTGGGTGTTTTCATTTCCCCACGGCTGCAGCCCTGCAGGCTGCTCCACACCACTGTGCCCCTTAATGGTAGAGCCTGGGGGTCGCCAGGATTCCTTAGCCAGCTGCAGGCAACTCCTGCATACCAATGAACTTGCATCTTAATGAATCTGCTACTGGGGGCACTTGGGTTATTTCCAAGCATCGGAGGCACTGCAGCCACCAGGCAGGTGGCTGTAACGTCGGCTGGGCTTGTCTCCTAAAAAGGAAGAGGTTCTCAGTAGCTGGTTGGGGGGTTTTGGAGTTGGGGCCACTTAATCAGAAACTTTTA